AGAACGTTCGTCTGGAATAAATCGAAGGAGAACGACGGAGAACCATCAATCAGAGCAGCTAGAATAGCTATAGAATATTCCGGCTGATTGTGTTTGAATTCGACCCAGCAATGTAGCTAGTGGCAAAAATTTGCTATCGTCTCGTCACGAACCCCAGATTCTCCCGACCAACAAAGCTGCAGAAGCACCGTAAACAATGTTGGATTGGGGAGGGAGAGTGGTCCCTTATCGCCCTCTCCGATCCACCACTGGCAATCTGTGAAACTTATCGCGTGCTTCCCGTAAACATGATACGTATTTTGTATTTCGTACAAATGAAACAAACAGAATTAGATTTAACTGTTACAGTATTTGCAGCACATAATCCAGAAAAGCAGTGATAATTTCACAGAAGCCTGCTTTGATTATATTGAAGTGAGCATTTTTTTAATACCATTATCAGCGATCACAGTAAAGAAGTGTGTTTGTTACTTCTAAGCTAAATTTATTACCTTCCTTCAATATATTTTCTTTCTTAAGAATATTATCTACTCGTACATCACGTCGGGCAACAATGGGATGAATTCCAAGAATCTTGAAAGTCTTGCAATTTTGTGAAAAGATAACGCGTCAAACGATGCCATGCAAGAGAAGTTGGTAGCAACAAAGCCCGCTAAAAATTTCATTTTTTAAGCAAACGCATTCAAAAACTGTTCCAACTTCGTGAGAAAAAGTTAAAATAATTTGAAATAGTAAATGAGCGAACACTATTATAAACAAATTTCGATATACAGCAGTTAAATATTACTCACTTCTAGCTTGTCCTTTCTCATTGTGTGTAGTCGAATAAACATGTAAATTTGTGGCAAATACTACAAAATTTTCCAATGCTTTATGCTATCGTATCGATTAAAAAAAGGCCAACTTTAAGCGCATTCTAAATAGTTTGCGATTATTATAATAAGTTTTACTATTATTATTATTATTATTATTATTATTATTATTATTATTACTATTATTATTATTATTACTATTATTATCATTATAAGTTATTTATCATTTCCTTCTTATAAATAAGTTATGGTATGAAATATTTTTCTGCTTGCTAAACAGAGAAGTATGTGTCATCTCCTCAAACGAACGGTGGAAAATTCGAGTTTACAATTTCGAATCTTTTCCAATTGTTGAAAATACAGAGAATGCGCCAAAAGTGAGACATCACCAGTTTTTTACCGTCCTTTGCTACATCTGTGAAAAAATTTGGAGCTTCTTCTGAGAAAATAATTGTTTAAAATGTAAAAATTGCTTGTTTGAAGCAAATTACGCAAGAAATACTCATATTTTAAAAATTCGCTATTCGACAACAAAATGTAATCAAATAAATTGGTGCAATTGTTTTGAAAATTTGGAAAATGTTCCAGAGGTTTCATGTAGTGCCCTCAAAATTAAAGTATCGGTTGCAAATTCAAGGACCCGTAACATCATCCAGATCGATTGGGGAATATCAATTTTGGAGAAAATCGGCTTTTCGGTATCCATGTCTCACAAAATATGAATTCTGAGTACGCCAAGAGTTGCAGGAAGTAATTTACTAAATATAGGAACAAGATTTATTTTGAATCATGCGTCGGAAATCGGCGGGTTTTTGACGGAACACTCATTGCCGGGCTCTGGTAACGAAAAAGTGAATTTATCTTCTCCTTGTACACTATATAGAAAATAACTTCCTCTAACACGTTGGGTAGTTTGAAAATATGTTTTGTGGGTCCTTGATACCGATAAATCAACTGGCCACAAAAGTTTGTCCGTAAAATTGGCGAAAGGAAAACATTATAAACTTTCTACACTCGCAGGTCATCGAGGGGAAAAAACTCGTAGAACATATTGAAAATATTAAGATTTTTCTAAAAAAAATTCTGCTCTGGACCCAATTTTTAATTTTAGTAGCTAAAATAATAGTTATAAAAATGTAAAATTAAAAGACAATGAGTACACTTCTTCTCAGGAATTATAAACAATAAAATGAAAAATTAATTTAAACAAATGTTGTAATTATTCAAAATATCAATTAAAATTTACAATTAATTGGACCAAGATGCTGAAAGTGTGCTTTCAGATTACTCAATTACGAAAAATATGTTTATTACTTAAGATGTTTATTGGATATTTTAATGAAACTAACCAAAATGAAACATAGGTTATCAAATAAAACATTTTTATATGTGATACAAAATAATTGATATTCAACTGCATTCAGGTTCAATAAAAATATTGAAATTTTTCACTGAAATATGATATGAATTTGAAATTGAATGCTATATAATGTGAAAGTAATTCCTTTAAAATATGAAATAAAATATTGATGTAAATTCTTTAATTTTATTCATAAAAGGATATGATTTTCAAATTATTTTTATAAATAATGGTTAAAAAAATTTTATAAAAACATAATATATAACTGTGTACATACCAGGTAAAAATGTTTTCATTTTATTTAATCTTTTTGAAATGATGAAAAATCAGCATGTTCTACAATTTGTAATGAAATATGATGTCTTATAGTTCCAGTCGCTTATAATGTGAATGTGGGCCACCACTCAATTGTACCGGAAAGCCCACATGCACATCACAAAGTCTGAAACTAAACAGTTCTTACTTTCTCTTTTGCTATTTTCATTCAAGAAGGGAAGTGATGTTCATTGGACCCTGCAATGAAACTTTTTTCGTTTCCTGAAAGTATTAATATTGTATAATGATGTTAGTATTATTTCAATATAATATTGATTACATTTTAAAAATAAGAAAACATTCCATAAACATAAGTTAAATGTTAATAATTTATTACTTCAAATTTAAAAGTGGGCTCATCATGAAAATATTTTCATATGAATTACCTAATTTTTTGGTAAAAATGCCTATTTCTGTTTTACAATACTGCAATTGATATTATTTTATTTGTTCTTGTAATTTTAATGCAAATAATTTAATTGAATATATTATTATATTTCGAAAAATTTCAAAAAATATCTTTAGTACAACAGAGGGGAGGGTTACTATGAAGTAAATGAAGTGTTTTGCTGAGAAGTACACAAAAAGGAAGCACATTAAACATCTACCTCTGAAAGATGTGCTTATTATTTAAAACTTACTTGATAATGTTTTAATAATTTACAAAAAATTCAGTTTCTTCCTTTACTCACCTCTTATTGAGAAATACCAAACGGTTTATACAACTTTCTTCTTCCTAATCCACCAATTTCATCAAATTCATGTTTATTCAAAATATCAAAGGGCAGGACATAGGTGCTATACCCAAAACAGAAGATGATTATTTAAAAAAAAATGAAATATTTAAAAATTCTCTCTAAAATTGATTGTAGAATAGTAACATCTGTTTTCATAAGATCATGAATTATTTATTCAAAAGTTTAGATGAAGGGTTGACATAATAAAAGTAGTTATTAATTTAAGTTAAAAGTATATTTTTTATCAGTTATAATTTTTGTTTCTAATAAAAGTGCAGGTACATCTTCTTGCAATTAATATTAAGGCAAGTATTTTAAATACAATAACGAAATAAGGAAGAAGCAGATTTAAAACTATAATACGCTACGAAATAATAAACTAGAAAATAATATATGACATGTCATATATAAATTGAAATAAAAAAGGATAATCTAAATGGGAATCGATTTGAATAGTTATCGAAACCTATGCGCGTAAATTTAAATGTATGGATAAATGTATGGAGAACCTACCTTCGTTATCGCCCGTCTGCAAGTGCAAAGAGGGACTGCGTCGTCTGAGCCAGCAAGATGCTCGGTCAGCTTGGTAGAACCGCACGTTGTAGTTTCTCATCTTCCGAGCACCGGATGGAGGTGGAGAAATCTTATTCAGCATCTTCTGCGGGCACTCGTAAAGCAACGGGGCCTTCTGAAGGCAACTGGAGTAGGGCCTAGTATTTTGCAGAAATCATCACAGATTGAATAATCACAGGGCCTCGACTTCCTTCAAATCGATCGCAGAATATACATTCTGGTGAAATGCGATATATATACATATACACACACACTCGCACGCACTCAAAAACCGCTATAAGAAGGGACGCTTAAAAGATTGGGATGATAGTTTTGTTAAACTCTGTAAATTTTCGAAAATTGACAATTTGGAAATAATTTGAGAAAATATGTGTTGTTGTAGCACCACTAGTTTGAATATGAGTTATACGAAAATAAGACGTGAGCCATTTCTTAAGGGGTAGTTTGCTCTAACCCAGAAAACATGGATTATGAATACACACCAGATTAGGGAAAGAAATTTACTAGTTATACGAGGAAAAATGATCCATATTTGCGGTATGAGTACGTAGAAAACGATTTTTTCTGTCAGAAAATTGCCACTATTCGCTGTAGCATTAATGAAAAATTATCTTTACTACGTAGTATGTTAGTAGGTGAGAATGCAAAATTGAACAAATCCTGTTAGTTTATTTAATGATAATTTAATCCTACAAATAAAATTTTTAATTTTCTAGTACGCGTGTAGAGAGAACTTTCGCTGATTACGAAAATTAAATTTGCCAACATTTTGGGGATAAAAATATCATCTTATTCCGAGCTAGTTCCTCTCTGTACACGTTATTCTGCTACGAAATTTAGCTTCTTGTAAAATTTAAGAAAATACAAATTAAATCATTTAAATGTGGTAGGAATGCATCATATCCTAAAATTGTAAAACTAATTGTTCGTGTTAAGGAATGAACATATAACTTTTCTGCCGCTTAGGTTGATTATTTTTGTTCCAATTAATGAAAATGTTCAGAAAGCAAACTTAATTCCGGTATCTAAGACCCCCAGGTTTATCTCACGTAGAGTTCGTTTTGAATTAACCGCATAAACCAAATTTTAAACCAGAATAATTTAAGGAAAACATTAAATAAAAAAACTTTCGAAGCTGTCTAGTGAGATGCGTTTTTTTTCTGATATTGGTACCTTTCTGAAGACCATTGAGGACTGCTGAGTATGGAGGAATGTTACCGCGGCATGTACGTTGCGACCGAGTGCAAAGATCATTTTCCACGGCTGCCAGAACGCAGCGCTGCACATTCGCTCAGCACGGCGGGTATTAACTATAAGAAAGAAATCACACCCAGGCCCGGTCCCTACTTTCGAGGTCCTAGATACAGCTCTGAGCGGAGCTAATACAATAACTAATGGGGCTACAGAATGGCACAGCGTTTCCCGTAATAGTTTTCTATTTCCTTTGGCCTCGGTTAGCAATTCGAACTTGCCACGTATTCTTGCCTGCTGCCGTCTATCGCCGCCCAAAGTAAATTTTTTGCACATTTTTCTTAATTTTTCGTTTTCCTAATCGTAGAGCGGAAATATTATTTTATGAACAAACTTAAAGAACAGTAAAACATCATCCTCAATGGCAATTTTCATTGAAACAGTTGAAGCTGTTTTTTTTAAAATAGCGTTTAAGCGCTACTGTAAATTCAAAATTTGGAGCTCTTTTTCACAGAATTTTTTTGAGTTTTTGAAAAACTGAATTTGAAGTCTTTTTAAGTACATTAACTTACAAATACAACAGTGTTTACAAATTGTAGGAAATGTGCATATCAACGACTTGATAGATCTTTCAATAAATTTACATTTGTGTAATTGTTGAAAAAACAATTAAATAAACGAAATTAACTTTACGTCATATTAAAGAGCGCAATTACCACTATCCGTTCGAAATGTTTGTAGAAAACATTTGTAGTCGTTTTGGGGAAAATGGTGTTTGAGCGTTTCTGAAAATGCGGAGTTTTGAGCAAGTTTTCACAGAAAACGGTAGTTTTCGAGAAACTTTATGACATTATTTAAACCATATGTACTCATAAATACAATAATGTGAACCAATTTTCACTAGTATAAATATTAACGACATGAGAGGTCAATTAAACATTTTTGTAATTTTTGAAAAAAGAATAAAGTAATATGGCGTTTATGTCATCTTATAGAGTGCATTTAGCACTATCCCTACCATAAGTATTAAGAAAAAAATTTGAGCCATTTTTGAGAAAATCTTGTTTTTGTAATTGCACATATTGCACGCAATATTGCGCGAAAACGACTAAAAGTTTTTTGAAAAATGTACATGACCTTAATGAAAGAACTCACAATGGAGAACAGATTTTATTTGAAGGAAAAATCTCTACCTTCAATTTTGTAGTTGTACGAAAACGCCCCAAAAATTTTAATATTTTAAAATTTTAAAATTTTTGAAAATTTAGTGTTAAATCTGAAAAGCGGACATATACCATATTTATAAGTGTATTTTACTCTGTTCTTACAAGAAGTTTAAAGAAAAATCCGTTTGTGAGAAAATTTTAAAATTGTACGCGGGGCTCCATGCAAAGTACCCCCAAATTTCAAAGATTTTTTCAAAATCTCAAAGATTCGACTCGAGCCAGATAGACAGACCAAACAGAGTTTCTTCTATTTGGAAAAATATCCTACGCACGGTTTATGCGCTAGTAGTGTTCACAGACACGAGACGGACGGACAGGCGGACGTTTTCAAAAAACAACAAAAAAACAACACACAACACTTTTTCGGTAACAGGTGACCCCAAAACGTGCATTTCCGTCGAAATTTCGAAATCGATTTTCCGCAGCATTAAATAACTTTCGCTGTACTACGTATATTCCTCCGTGTATACCTACGTATATGGGAAAGTAAAAGTAGTAATTCCTCAATCAATCTCTCAATCAAGGTCAAATGTCGGCATCTTCATTTGTTCGATGTCGGAACAAGTCCAAAATTTCCATACTTTGAGATATTTCCCAAAGTTATTCTCTTGAATTGGCGCTATCTGCTGGGACATCCCCTTTCGGCAAGAGCCAAACACATTGTAAGATATAAAGGGGGGAAATCGTTAATTCACTACTATGCAAGTATGAAGTTTTTCGCGCCTCCTGAAAAATTTCTAATTTAGACCAATTTGGTTTTTGTAAGAAATCGTTCAATTTATTTTACTGTACTTGTTAAATTTTCTCGGTATTTAAATTTTTAAGCACTTCAGCGCTTAACCCAATTATACAACTGTAGTAATAACTACCGTTTCTACAACAGCACACGCTTTCTCTTATTAATGGTAATGGTTGATTACAATTATAATATTGATACTTCTATACTGCTAACAAAACAGCCGTCACTTGTAAAACTCCTAAACAAACGAAGCGCGTATGATTCGAAAAATATGTATCTTTAATTTATTGAAATTTCTAAATTTTAAATTAAAATTGTTTCTTTCTGTTTTATTTAGATAATTGTACTCCATTCTCAAAAAAATAAAAGATAAAAATATTTACCCCGCTTGGGGCTCGAACACAAGCGCTGCGTCAGGCAGAGTTAACTAAGAGGCACAACTGTTGCCACTGCAGCGAATCTGGCGTGCGGGTTCTACGGATCGAGTCCCGACGATGGCGCAAAGTTTGACACTAGCTTAATATCTACGTAGTGTTCAACCGCTACCTGGAGGAGAATTCTACGGGCGGCTGCTTAGATCGGTAGTTTTCCGTTGTTTCTCTGGTTCATACCAGAAGAATGCTGGCGCAGTACCTTAACAATCGGGCCGTGGATGCGATGTGCGATGGTGCGATGTTTCCAGCCTCACCCTTGTCACCACCTCTACCCTTTAACACATTCACTTACACTAACGTGTATTACATCGCCCCATATGTTGGGGGATCATTCGTGTGCTTAGGGCTTGTGCCATCTAGTGCAGTGCCCTTGGGGGGAGCTAGTTGGAGAAGGAAACTCCGTTGGCCGATGTGAAGTTCGGCGCCAGAACTCTCGTTTCAGCGGAGGAAGAACACCTCCACATTCCGGTATATAACATGCACAATACGTACGGGACTATTGAGCATAGTAGCCTTGGAACATCAATCCAACGCTGCGGATGAGAAGCCCACGAGCTAGCCGGTGGTTTCGCTAATTTCTGATCATGAAAAAACTCTGTAAATACTGTTTCATGTAGCGGTTATTTTTACTTACAACTCAAAAGGGTGCGGAAAGTACGAATAGTTTCAAATAAATTTACATACAATGATTTGAAGTTCTAAAATTTAGGAATAGTATTCAAAAAGAACTCTAGCTTCATCATTGAAAATGTTAGGAGGATAAGAAAAAGGAGAAATGGAAGATAGGTTAGAAAAAGTAGTGGTGCTAAAATAGCAAGTACTTTCTCGCATTATTTCTAACTTTTGAGAATGCACCATTCTTTGAAGCATGCCATATTCTATCATTTCTTCTTTTTTCTTCCAATTTGGTGCGTCTTGATTTGACGCAACGCGTCTCCAACCCCCTTGGGGGGCGTTGAGCACTTAACGCTTAGTAATTCTCCATTAACAACTGCGCGGGAGTAATCCTCCATTAATTATTTTAAATTGTCGTATCCGTCACGTCTCGTCGCAGTCAGTTGTTATGAGGACCGCCAGGTAACATCTTCGCATACACGCCTCTTACTACGCGCTCCTGCGTCACTACCCAGAATTTGGAAGGAATTAGGATTGGGGTACGTTTTAGACCACTTCACAGGGGTTGGACTAACCCTTATGAAGCAGCCTCACTGGTGTGGTTGCAACAACACACGAGATCGATGGGAATCGAATTCGAACCTTCTTGGTGAAAGGCGAGCGACTTCTCTCTAAACCACCAGATTCCCTATCCCGGAAAAAAATAAATAGAAGTATTGGGAACGTTTTAGAGATTTTTGGTATAAATTGCTTCAATTTAATGTAGAAATTACATGAAAACTACTAGTTTTTTCAAGAAATTCTACATTACCATCTTTAAAAATCTAACCTAACCTAATACAAAATTGATGAAACCATGACGGCTCTTCATATGTTCTTTAGGTCTGAAAATGTTTTACGAAATGTATGAAAGTATATTTGTTTATAATTCAAGTAGGATGAGTGAAGATTTTAAAAAGATTGAATGAGGACACATTTTGAACGAGATGCATTTTGGAGAAGCTATGGGAAGGTAAGCCATGTGATGAATGATGGGCTCGATGTTTAATTCAATATGTAATTGATTTGGTATTAACCAGGTGCATTAGTGATATTGCGTAGGAATTTGTTCCGTACTATTTGAATTTTGTTAAGGTTTGATTTTGATTTATTAATCCATGTTAGGTAGGAGTGGAGGAGTGTCGATCTGATTATTATTTTGTATAATATTAGTGCAGTGTTGTAAGAGAGGTATTGGCTCCTATTGAAAAATGTTTTAATTGTAGTTTGATTTTATTTTGTGTTATTTTGGTGTCTCTGTGCTGTTTCCAATTCATTTTGGTGCGCATGTGCAGCCCTAAATATTTGATGGGTTTCTTTCAGCACCCCTGACCGGTGATACAGACGACACCAAAAGAAAAGACCTAGCCGTGCAGCCGACGTTATACATGGTTCTAATTTCCAAAGTGTTGAAAAGTTTCAAGCGCAGTAAGATGTAATAGTTTGCGAATGTCTGCCTCTTTTGAAATGTCCTTACCTGACTTTGCGTGGATGCTTTATACATGAGCAATTGAAGACATTCACGAAAACGGGTTATCAACATTTTTCTAAAAAATGAGATTTAGTCTTTCGCACGGAGAGAAAATATTATGATGAATGGAAATGTATTTATAATTTATATCTTAAAGTAGTAGTAGTAGTAGTAGTAGTAGTAGTAGTAGTAGTAGTAGTAGGAGTAGGAGTAGTAGTAGTAG